TACTGCCGAAATCGCGGATAGGCCGGTGCAACCAAAGTATCAATGTATGAGTGCTCGTTTCCCTGTGAGCTCCACTCGTGGATGTCGAGGCCGCGTCGCTGTTCACAAGTCCTGCCGCTTACACCCGATAATCAATGTGCCGCACAACGTCGCGAGATTCGGCCCCGGCGGGAATATCGTCCACGCCGCCGGGACGGAGGTTGACAAATTGCCCCCCCTTCCTGGGCGCACCCCGTGGTGTAGCCGTTGGCGTTGGTGCCGGCGTAGGCGTGGGCGTCCATGCTGTAGTCAGTGCTGGCGTCGGCGTGGTAGGCCGCGATCTGGTCGGTGATGGAGTCGGCTGGTCGATGCGGGAGTCGTCGAATTGGCCGGCGAGGGAGTGGGTGAGTTGCTCGGCGTGGGAGTGGACGTGCTGGTCTGCGCGGGAATCGGCGAGCTGGTCAATGTCAAGCGGCTGGTAACCGATGCGCTGCGAGAAGTGGTACGGATGTGCCAGTCGTGATGCGGCCGCTCCTGCTTCACAGTGGAGATTCGGTTGCGTGGCTTCGGGCTGGGAGTCGCTGAGCCGATCGGCGTAGGAGTGGGCGAGCTGGACGGCGCGGGAGTCGGTGAGCTGGTCGATGCAGGCGCCGCCGCGCTGGTAGGTGAGGGAGTCCACGATGTGGTCGGTGCTGAGGTCGGCCAGTCACTCGGCGCTGCAGTCGGCGAGCTGGTCGTCGCAGGAATCAGCGATTTGGTCGGTGCGGGAGTCGGTGAGCTGGCCGTTGCGGAAGTCGGCGAGCTAGTCGGCCTGGGAGTCGGCGAGCTGGTCGGCGCGGGAGTAGGTGAGCTGGTCGGTGCGGGTGCCGCCAAGCTGGTCGGTGCAGGAGTCCGTGAGCTAGTCGGTGCCAGAGACCGACACAGGGTCGGAGAAAATCAATCGCACCACAATGCAAGACTCAACGAAAATATCACAGATCTCGGTGCTGCGATGGTGTGATGATCGGCGCTGTCGGCGAGCTGGTCGGCGCAGGAGTCGGCGAGTTGGTCGGTGCGGGAGTCGGTGAGCTGGCCGGTGCGGCAGTCGGTGAACTGGTCGGTGCGGGAGCCGCCAAGCTGGTCGATACGTGTGTCGGCGAGCTGGTCGGTGCCAGAGTCGTCGACACTGGTCGACGTGGGAGTCGGTGAGCTGGTCGGTGCGGGAACCACCAAAATGGTCGATGCTCGGAGGTCGGAGTGCTGAGCTGGCGGGGCCTCGGCACAGATGGCTCCACTCAGTAAGACCATTGAGTCTCTGAATCTCAAATTTCCCAAATTCGTCGTAACATTTTGGGCGTGGTGTGCCAGCAACGCCAAACATACGAATCCAGCAGATTCTGTATCATCGATGTGTTGGCACTACTGATGACGGTCAATATGCTAAACTTCGTGTGCCGGGTCTGCTAAGCCTCGTACTGGTCGTCGTCGTGCTGCTAAGGTGGCCGTCGTGCTGATCATCGGCCGTGGTTCTCGTCGGCGTGGTGATGGGGCCAGTCGCACAGAGCGTTGTCGTCAGGTTCGTCGTGCCGGGCGTCGTCGTGCTGGCGGAGGCGCCGGTGTTGGTGCTAGCGGGAAGTTGTATTAGCTGTTTTGAAACAGCGCTCCGAAATGAGCTTGGGCCTTGGGCCGGCGTTGGCGCTGATGGCGTCGGTGCTGGTGCAGGCGCTGGCGCTGGTGCCAGCGGAGGCGCAGGTGTTGCTGCTGGCGTGGGTGCTGGAGTCGGCGCTGGTGCCGGCGCTGGCGTTCGTGCCGGCGCAGTGGCAGACGTTGATGGCAGCGTCGGTGATGGCGTCGGCGCTGGCGCAGGCGTCGGCGCAGGTGCTGGCGTCGGTGCTGGCGACGAGCGCACCGCCTCGTGCCTGGGCGCGCGAGCGGGTCCAGCAGAGTCCAGGGCTGCGCCGGGCTCGTCGAGAGGGCGCCAAGGGCGTCCAGGGTGATTGGCGCAGGCGTCGGTGCTGGTGTAGGCGGTGGTCGTAACGGTCTGGGCGCCCATCCACCCAACCGGACGCAACAAAGTCGAACCAAGCAGGGACGTAGGCGCAGGCGTTGTTGTTACCGTCGGTGCCAGCGTCGGCGCTGGCGGAGGCTCTGACGTCGGCACTGGCGTAGGCGCAGGCGTTGGAGTTGGCGTCGGCGCTGGCGCAGGAACTGTCGTTGGTGCCAGCGTTGGCGCAGGTGCTGGTGCTGGCGTCGGTGCTGGCGTCGGTGCTGGTGCAGGCGGTGGTCGTAACGGTCTGGACGCCCTTCCGCCCAAGCTTGACGCCATGGTGACTAGATCGTGTAAGGGGGGTCATCTGGCGCATTTTCCGTCGATGAAAACCCCGGGGATAAGTCGTATTTGTCGTACTCGCAGTCGTACTCGCAGTCGTAGTAGTAGTAGTAGTAGTAGTAGTAGTAGTACTAGTAGTAGTAGTAGTACTAGTAGTAGTAGTAGTAGTAGTAGTAGTAGTAGTAGTAGTAGTAGTAGTAGTAGTAGTGGGTA